GGCTCAGACGCCCCAGAATCCATTTACGGGCCAGTATGCGCCCACCGCTGGATTTTACCAGGATTACCAGTTCGAGAGGGCGCTGAAGTTCCTCGAGTGGATGACCACCAACATCCACCAGAATGACAAGTTCCGCAATGTTGGAATGCTCGAGGTTGTCAATGAGCCTGTTCAGGATGCTGGCAAGGTTGGCTCGATGCGGAGCAGCTATTATCCCAATGCTTTCAAGGTGAGTCGCTCTCATACAAGCACAGAGACAATGCTCACCCTCGCGCTTGACCACAGAGAATTCGTGCTGCAGAGCAAAGCCTCAACATCGATCGAAACAACTACCTACACATCCAGATGATGGACAGACTCTGGGGCTCGGGTGATCCCAACGAGTCTCTGACTGACACCTACTACGCCGCTTACGACGACCATCGTTATCTAAAGTGGGCCAGCGTCGCCGTCTCCAAGGACAGCTACATCAGCACATCCTGCAGCGACCAACTCAACAGCAACACCCCGACCATTGTGGGAGAATGGAGTCTGAGCGTTCCTGATAACGTGCAGTGGAACTCGGACTGGTCGCCTGACTCTAACAAGGACTTTTACAAGAAGTGGTTTGCCGCCCAGGTCACGGCGTATGAGAAGCAGCAGGGCTGGGTTTTCTGGACGTGGAAGTCTCAATTAGGAGATTACCGTTGGTCATATCAAGGTGGGCTGCTCCGTACCGATGATATGTGTTCAACAGTGTGCTGACCTTTTAGATGCTGTCGCGGCTGGAGTTATTCCCACTGACCTCAACTCTCTGGCCGGCATGAAGGTGTGTGGTTGATGCAAAAAGCAGAACGATGAAGAGAGTCAGCAGGACTTGGATAATGTGTTAGAACTGATTTTAGTTCCCGTATGTACTTCAATGGAGAGTTCATATAGTGTGCCTCCAACTGGATAAAGCACAAGGCATCAAAGTGATACTCCGCAGTGCCATACTGATAAGAAATCATTTTGCTATTAAACACCTTACCTTCTCTTAGAAGACTTGATAAAGCGCCCAATACGAAGAAACAATGTGACAGAATCAGGGTCATCACAAGGCTAGGTGTGCAATTGGTCAATAGCCGGTACCGGCTTGTCTGGAGCGGAACCGGGATGTTTGGATGTAAAAGGCGATCTGCAATCACAACCATACCTAAGCTCATCTACTTTTTCACGTTGCACTGCGGCTCATTCAAGTTGCACTGTATTCGCTAAGACTTGACTTTCTGCACGAGCGTTTTCCTCGAGCGCCACCCGGATCGAGTGCAACATGACCAAAACCGCCCTCCTCGTCCTGGACATCCAGAACGGGATCGTCGAGCGCCTAGACGACCACGATACCTACCTAGCACGCCTCGCTCCCGCTATCAAAGTGGCCCGCGAATCCGGCATCAAAGTCATCTACGTCAAGACAGCGTTCCGGGAAGGATACCCCGATACACACCCGCGCAGCACCATGGGTACTCGAGTCCGAGAATCACAGTCATTCCGCGAAGGTGATATCTCCGTCGAGATCCCTTCCGTCGTGGCACCGGACGCCAACGAGCCGATCATCACCAAGCGCCGCGTGTCGGCTTTCACCGCGACGGATCTGGACCTTGTGCTTCGCTGTCTGGGAGCGGAGCATTTGGTCGTCGTCGGACTGATCACCAGCGGTGCGGTGCTATCAACTGTTCGGCAGGCTGCTGATCTGGATTACCAGTTGACTGTGCTGGAGGATCTGTGCATGGACAGAGACCAGGAGGTTCATGATGTTCTGATGAAAAAGGTGTTGTCGAGACAGGCGCAGGTTGTTTCCTCTGCAGAGTGGATGGCTGAACTTGATTGATGAATCTGGCGAGAGAACAGGGCGACAGAGCGACAAAATGTCCAATGCCAAGCTAGGGAGTCTGGCTCTAGTGAAGGCAAAATAAGATGGCGGGAAAGGAATTCATCAGGCCCAGTCGAGTAATCTCGTCGCCGTCTTGCGGTGATCGAGTTGAGGCCGGCTACAAATTTGTACACAGATTGATTTCTATCACATTCAACAGATTCACCCTGTCAATGACTAGATCCAGAAGTTTCGGTTGAAGTCTTACTGTAAGATCAGCGTGCATACAAATCCTTCCTACACACAGACACACATATTTGGCGTCTCCCTATTTTCTGCTTAGTCACCATCCAGCAGCAACAACAACGCGACTTCAAGTCTGAATTTTTTTTCCCTTTCTTCCTCGCTAATGCTACCATATTAGACGACTAGTCCACTCAGTATGGTTTTCCATTGCAATTAATTGCGCACGAGGTTGAGCCAATTGATGAATATCAATAATCATTTGCATCATGGTCGTCGGAGATAAAAGGCCACGGGCCGGGGCGTGCACAACTTGCCGGTAAGATGAATTACACTGAGTACACTTCGGCGTAGGAATAAAGCTGACCAACGCCAAACGCGCTGCTCAGAGTTCGCAAGAGACGCTGTGTTCCTGCTGGGGACAAGTACAATAATTGCGAACTCTGTTTGTCCCTGGCGATTCCCTGCAGCCTTAGTACGGAACCCGGGGTATCTGCTGCTGCGACAAATGGCGCTGCGGCGGCGGCCTATCATCACCCTGTAGCGGAGAAGCTGCCAGCGCCTGAACCTCCACGGGCTGCTGTGATCAAGCCATTGAGAAGGATCCAGGAGTTACCGCCTGTGGAACCTCTGCTGGATCTGTATTTGCTGGCCACGCCGGCTCTTTTTCTGGAGCTGGTGTCTCTGTATTTTCGGTCTATCCACAATGTTGCGCATACATTGTTTCACGAGGCCAGCTTTATGCGGCTGTTGAATGAAGGCCGAGCGTCGTTGATGCATGTGCATGCCATGTGTGCGCTCGTTGCGAGGTACGTCAGTCGATGCTCAAACAGTTCGCAGAAACTGATCAATGGCAGATTTTCGAAGAATCCTATTTTCAATGGTGTTGCTCCAGAGTCACGTGGTAAGCTCTATGCCGGTGAGGCCATTCGCTTATTCCAGGAGAGGGTGAACTATCCCAGCTTGGAAACCGTTCAGGGAGCGGTTCTTCTGGGGCATCTCGTGGGAGGAGAGGGAGATGCGCAGGCGAAACAGGCCTACATCGGCATCGCCCGCACACATGCCGAGGTGCTCTCTCTATGGGCCATGCCGCCAAACTCCACCGTTGTGCATCGAGAAGAGCGGCGGCGGACGTGGCTTTCCATCCGAATTGCGGACCCATGGACTATCATTGACATGTCTGTGAACTCGGGGGCTTCTCTCCACAACCTCAATGTGCTCCCCGAGGTAGACGATGTGGCGTTTCACACCTATGACCCGGAACTCTTGCGAGAGGTGCCCGTCCCATCCTCGTCGAGATGTGACATGTGGGCGCAGATGGCCGGGACGTTGGACATTTACACCCGAATCAGCGTCCTTCTAACGCGACTCAGTCGTGGGGTGGTTACCTTTGACGCCTACCTCAGCGAGGTCCCCTTGTTGAAGGAGTGTCTGGACGGATGGGTTCGGGGATTGCCTCCAACATTGGCCTATAGCTCTAAGAATCTCGTGTTCTTTGCTAAACAGGGCCTGGGTCGGAATTTCCTCGCCATGCATATTGTCTACCATCATTTCCGGCAAATGCTTTTCTTTCCCTCCTTGGATGCACGAGCAGTTCGAAACGCAGCATCAACCGCAGATGGCATTGCTCAATGCAGAAAAAGCGCCAATGCGATCTCTGAAATCATCGATTGCTTCACAAACGTGGACGATTGCCAGCTCGACTACTTCCTTTACGGGCACGTGGCCATCGTCAGCTCTTGTGTCTACATGCAGGTTTTGATGCTGAGCGAGGAGTTGTCGGAGCTGGGTACCGCACGGCAGCGCCTAGTCTCGAACTTTGAGTACCTGATGGGATTGAAGACACATTGGCCCGCGGTCCGGCAGTCGGTGAGTCGTCTTTTACTAACATGCTATGGTTTTGATGCTAACAAGTCTAGATTGCCCGACTCCGCGACTTTCAAACGACTTACCAAGATACCGTGAGCAATCCGTTCACCTTGGACCACTGGCTGGCCCGCTTTGTCATCGAGCACACTGCCATCCTGGCGGAGCGGCAAACACCCGGACCACAACCCTCGAGCGTCCCGCGAGCATCACAATACAACACCAGCGATGAGTCCGGGATCCTGGGGCTTACGGGCAGCCTCAAGACCGAGTCTTCGCTTCTGATTCCGCCGTCGCATACCCGAGTGTCTGACCGAGAGAGCGGCAAGTTGTCTGCTCTGCTCAATGATCACAGTCTGACCAGCGAGGCGCTCGTGAACAACGCTCTGAATTGGTTGTTGGAGTAGTTGCCCGTCAGCGCGCAGCTGAGCGAGTCTCGAGCTGCACCTGCACCATCCGCAATCGTCCATACCCGGAAAGGAGTGTACCTGGTTTACAACCGCTTCCGGAATAGCGTCTGAGATCCTTTCTAGCACTGATCATTGGCCGGTCTTCGGTCCTAATGGGATGACTGAGATCTGCACGACCATTTCTGTGGACGGCGTCGCGTCCATCTGCGCAGCACAAGCAGGGTCCACCACTATGGTTTGACGGTGGCATGATTGAGGAGAGACTGAAGTCGAATCGGCACTTACGTGTTCATCTTCTATGCCCGAGGCACAGAATGCAGAACTCATTTCTCCGCCGTGACCAGCCGCAGCATCACACGATGTCCCGGCATTTCGGCAGAATACGCAGAAAATCTGTGCCCTATTAATAAACCAGGTTTCGGTTCTCAGCCGAGATCCACTGATCAGTGACGCTCAGGTGGGAGTTGGGTAATGTGTGAGGAGGAAGTATACGATATGATATATACGATCGATAATTGTGAGTGAGGGTTCACAACCAATACACTATTGTACATGTACATAGAATTATTGACAGATTATAAACACGAAGTAATGCTCAGCCGTATGGCAATAATCCACATATGAGACCGTCTATCCCACTATCGCAAGAATCAACCCGCCAGCTCGCTCAAGATATCATCCGCCGCCTTCTCTGCAACCAAATACGTCGAAACAGCCGTAAACGTCCCCGGAATGCGCGGATACACACTCGCATCCACAACCCTTAGCCCCTGCACCTTGCGCACCCGGAACTTGTTATCCAGCACCGCCATGGGGTCACCATCTGCACCAATCGGACACGTCGAAGACGCATGATGCCCCCACGCCGTGTCCCTCACATACGTCTCGATATCCTCCTGGCTGACAACCTCCTTACCAGGCAGGACTTCCGTGGTGGGAACCAGCTGGCGACGGAGCGCATCACGCGCAAGCTCAATCCCCTCATAGATCGCCTGCAGGTCTTCGTCGGCCCCCATATCAAAGTAATTGTACACGATGGCCGGCGTATCCAGCGGATCCGCAGAGCGCAGGCTGACCGTCCCCGCCGTGTTGCGCGGGTGCGCCTTGAGAACCGCCCAGGTGAACCAGTCGTGACGCGCGGTGATGTTCACGCTGTAGCCCGGAAAATACCCTCGGAAGTTGACTGGCCCGCCGAAGACGAAGGCGTCGTAGGCGTTGTCTGCCGACACGGTCGACTTGTAATACATTGCAGCGGCGAATCCGGCGGAGGAGTAGATTCCTCGGTTCCCCAGTAGGGGCTTGGATTCCCATCGGTCCAGGCAGGGGTCTGACTGGGCGAAGGTGCAGCCGTGCAGGCTGGTCCAGTTGGCGGGGACGTGGGCCTGGACGCCGACCTCGTAATGGTCTTGGAGGTTTGTGCCGACGCCGGGGAGGTCGGCGACGAGGGGGATGTTGAAGCGGGCGAGTTCGTCGGCGGGGCCGACGCCGCTGAGTTTGAGGATCTGCGGGGAGTTGTAGGTGCCGCCGGCGATGATGACTTCGCGGGAGGCGGCGGCGGAGCCCGGGGTGCCGGGTTGGGAGAGGTGCGCGAGCGGGCTGGCGCGGTAGAGGTGCTGGCCGTCGAGGAACTCGACGCCTGTGGCGCGGGGCGGGGAGACACTGGTGTCGAAGACGACGCGGGTGACGTGGCAGTTCATCCGGACGTCCAGCGGGTATTTCTTGCTGCCGTCTGGGTTGGTGGCGTCGCGTACAGCGGTGATGAACTCGCGGGGCCCGTTGCGGCGGCCGTCGGTGCTAGACAGAGGAATCTGGTAGTATCCTGGTTGAGTGTCGCGGGCGAGCGAGTCGGCGTTGGCGTCGCCTAGGAGCAGTGTCCCGAAGTTCATGAGCGTGTGGGTAATGTTCCCCAGGGCAAAGGCGCCGCCCGTTAGCAGGCTGAGCAGTTGCGGGTCCTTGAGGACAATGTCCAAGGGTGCTGTGTCGGTGTGCAGCCAACCGTCGTAGCCGTGGCCCTTTTGGCCCGGGAGAAGGTACTCGTTATGCTCCATGCGAACAAAGTACTTCCGCATGTTCTCCGGGGACCAAGAGCTGTCGCCCGTCAGCGTGGCGATGTACTCAAAGTCGGAGCGGTCTGGATAGACGGCGATCATGGCGTTGTGTGCAGTGCAGCCCCCCAGCGTGCCTGTACGGGGATACAAGGTCCCCATCATGGTGGAATTGGCCGGCGGGTCGAGACCGGTGTAGATCTCCCCGTCGGGAGTCTCGTAGCTGGTCTTGAAGTCGCGTGCCTGGCGCTCCTCATCGGCATAGTGGCGCACGAAGAAGTTCCAGGCCATCTTCTCGTCCTCGGACGCTAGGGCCGAGTATGCCGGCACGGTGTAGTTGACATTGAGCCCTTGGTCATCTCCTGCTTCGATCAACAGCGTCTTGTGTCCGGCGAGAGCGAGACGAGCGGCCAATGGACCGCCTCCAGCGCCGGATCCCACGACGATGTATTCATACCCGGTCAGATGGATCGCGGAGGTCAGGCCAGCGGCCAGCAGGCTCAACAGCTTGAGTTTGCGACTCATCGTTTGTCAACAAGACTTGACGATGACCGAGGGGTAGAAGGCAGTTTACACGGTTTGACGTGCCTACCCCTGAGAGATTATCAGGGACAGGAAGAATTCTCCGTGCATGGTGGGATCCGTTGGCATTTCGTGCTTGCGGGGAATCCAACGGACATTGAGCAACGACTGAAAAGGCGAAGATCACCGTGACGAAGGTTGACATTTCCTGATTTAGACAAAAGACGCTGATAAATAACTGCTAGCCTGCGAGTCAGAGTTCATCCTCGGTTGGTGGATACAGATCGCCGTGGAGAATACCTACTTTGTCATGGTGGATAACTACTCCTTGAACTTTGAAGCAGCGCGACGACAACAATCACATGGTACCTTGATAGTACATAATAAAAGAGACGGACTAGGCTACAAGGTACAGCGACGTGATGCATCCTGAAGCCTTCTGAGATGTCTTGCCTCAAGCCTTGCTGCATGCCAACATGGGCAAGTCATGCAATCCACCTGTGACAATCTGTTTTCAGACTTCTGCTGTGGATTCTCAATTTTGCAACAGATTAACAAGCCTCGGTTGCTGACATATTGATGCAGATATCGGAAAGAAGATTCTGGACTGTGGGCATGCTCTATCGACGGAATAATATGTTCGTTCTGCTGTCAAAAAGGGGGTGGGCCTGAGGCCGCTTGCCAGCATTAGCGTGTGGTTAATCGCCCAAGATTAGCGAACTCTCACCAAGTTGACTGAACTAATAGCTCAGGGATCGTCGTGGATGGATGAGTCAACATATGAGGGTTTTACCAATGAGGAGCCAGTCGGCGAAATTTAAGCCGGGACTGTTGATCGACGTGTCTTTCAATGGCCTAAGGCATGCTCGACAGTCCAGCCAGTGCCAGTATATCATCACTTTATTATAATTTCGCGGCGTTAAAAAGTCGGAACAAAGAGGGGAGATACGAAATGCAACAGCCGTCAATTCATCAAGTATTCCTGTCAGAATATCTGGCGATACCAAGAACGCAGACCTCGGACATCTGGTCCGGAAGAAGACTCTCCCCCGCATACAGTTTCATGTAAAACAACAGAAAGTCATCCTAAATACCGAGAGGAACCAGCCAAGCACGGTACATATCTTTTAATATACGATTACCGTGCCACTAATGGGCTTCTTCAGGTCATCCTCGACGCAGCCAAGACTTTTTGTGCGGAGAAATCGCAAAACATGGGGTAGAATCGTATTAAAACCCCCGCCAGAGGGTCACCGTGACCCTTTGCCAGCAGAAATGCAACCCTCCTCGACAAGGATGCGTATATTTCGCCTCGGTCTGAGGGGCCGGAGGACTGAATAAGCCCTCGCATCCAGATTCTGGCCAATGCCATCGAAAACAGCAGCAGTCCTACCGAGGATGAGGCCTCGTTTCTATACTTCGCTGGGAGAGATGAAGAGAAATGCCGGGTCGACTTGTGAACAACTACCGTTGAGCAGCAAGATGTCCAAGGGTATAAAGAGAGCGTTCAGGATGCCTTGAGGATGTGGTAGATTCCAGACAGCAGCAGGAGCAGCAGCAGCATCATCACTGTCAGCAGATCAAGATCTCTCCAGTCCTCTCAAAATGAAGTTCGCACTCCTCTCCCTCGCGGCCATGGCTGTAGCCAGCCCCGTGGCCATTGACGTTCGGCAGAGTATGTGCCTTCTCCTTACAAACCAGTCTCCATGCTAATGAGACAGCTGCCATTGTTGGTGATGAACTTCGGACTGGTCCCTGCGAGCCCATCACTTTCATCTTTGCCCGGGGCTCCACCGAGCCTGGTCTTCTGGTATCTATACTTCACGCCAGTCCTCAATTCTGGTAGATACTAACGGAACAAAGGGAATCACCACCGGCCCCGGAGTCTGCAACGCTCTCAAACTCTCTCGTCCAGGCCAGGTGGCCTGTCAAGGCGTTGGACCAGCTTATACCGCTGACCTGGCCTCCAACTTTCTCCCACAGGGCACGAACCAGATTGCCATCGATGAGGCAGCAGGTCTCTTTAAACTCGCTGCGTCCAAGTGCCCCAACACGAAGATCGTCGCTGGTGGATACAGGTACTTCTCCCTTCGTTCATTATGACAATCGCGTAAAGCTAAAGCACTGTATAGTCAGGGCGCAGCTGTCATGCACGGTGCCATCCGTAATCTTCCCAGCAACGTGCAGAACATGATCAAGGGGGTTGTGCTGTTCGGCGACACGCGCAACAAGCAGGATGGGGGCCGGATCCCCAACTTCCCCACAGACCGCACCAAGATATATTGTGCTCTCGGGGACCTGGTGTGTGACGGGACTTTGATAATCACTGCTGCGCATCTCAGCTATGGCGACGATGTGCCGAACGCAACCTCTTTCCTCTTGTCGAAGGTTTGAGCATGGCTGCTCTAGTCGCCGTCTATGTTGGAGACATCGGAAGACACAAGATTGTAGGAGGAATAGTACGACATCTAGGATAGCTTAGCAAGCAATGTCAGATGAACACTCGCTGCCTCAGGCTCAACAGTACACCTCCATGCCTCATTCCTCAGGTACCAACACATCCATTACCCTTTTAGGCCTTCCACTAGACAACAGATGAACCATTATTACGTCTTCCTCTCAACCAAAGGAACCGGGGCGGTAGTGCAGCGGTCGTACTATTGCGCAGAACTCTGCCACTGCAACTCCGTTGAGTCTAGAGTATGGTACCTCACTACCCAGACAGCCCCGGGTTCGATTCACAGTCCTCCCACTGAGAGGAGGAGCCTGGGCGGATTTCCAGTTGGCGGGAGTGCACCTGCCGCTGATGTTCCGTTTTGTCTCTCGCAATCTTTTTCCCTTTTCTTTTTCTATTTTATTCTCTGTTTTTTTTAGAATATCTTGCTTAAAGAGTGGGTAGTAGCCCGTGGCTTCTCTCTTTCTTGTTGTCTTGTAGTTGAAGCTTTTTTTCGTTCTATACCAGAAAGGCCAACGCAAAACACCTACCCCCAATCCTTTCTCTCATCTTAAGTCGATCATTCTGACACCTTCACAGGGTCCCCCATATTCTCCCTTAATTTTGGTCTCGAGATTACTGGCTCAATAGACTGACAACATTGTCCGTTCCTTCCCTCCTTCCCACAAAGCGGCATTTCCAGTGGCTCCAGGACAATGGCGACCTGTATCAAAAGCAACAGAAGAGCCGACACCGTTTCCTACGGGCAGCTCGAGGGGTCACGGGCACAAGTATGCCTCATGCAGTCTCGGAAAAAGCAATATAGCTCGACATGATTTTGATAAACTCGCGTTCAGACTGAGACTCCCGAGAATTCATCGTCCTTCTGACATCTGTCCGACAATGACCATCACCCACTGACGTTTGTAGTACAGTAATTATACTGTAGTAAGTTGTTTGATGAAAATAAAGAACACGTTCTAAACAGCAGCCTCAATTGCAGACGTCAATGAACCGAGTCTGACATGCATTGCATACCCTGCTCAAATGAGGGGTACTGCATATCCATGGCATCCCTGTTGTACGAATGTCACAGCAGGTGGAGACAGAAAACGAGTATATTTGCCTTTGTCCTCGACAATTCCGTCCGTTTATCACCACCTCTCCAGAAAGAGTTCATACGAGCACAATGTCGGAACACCACCTTGACGCTCTGGTCGTCGGAACCGGGTTTTCAGGCATCTACGCCCTCCAATCCCTCCTCAAACTAAACCTCAAAGTCAAAGCGATCGATGCCGCCAGCGACGTTGGCGGTACCTGGTTCTGGAGTCGCTACCCCGGCGCCTTGAGTGATACTTGGTCGCACCTGTACCGCTACTCATTCGACTACGAGTATCCGCTCCACCGGCGGTATGTCTCGCAGCCCGAGGTGCTGGCATATCTGCGCCACGTGGTAGACAAGTACGACCTACGCAGACACATGCAGTTTAATATGGACATGGTTAGCGCCATTTGGGATGAAGGCACAAGCACATGGCGAGTGTCCTGCAAGACCGGCGATGTATTCCGCGTTCGATACCTCCTCACGGCACTGGGGCTGCTGACGAAGGCCAATTACCCTGATCTTCCCGGTCTGCAGACGTTCCACGGTGAGATAAGGCACACTTCTGCTTGGGACACCGAGCTAGATCTCAAAGGTAAGCGAGTTGGTCTTGTCGGCGTGGGTTCCTCGGGTGTGCAACTCGTGCCCGCCGTTGCGGACACCGTCCAGTCCCTACACGTCTTCATTCGTCGTCCGCAATACTGCGTTCCCAGCGGTGACCGTGCACTCACCGCGCAAGAGCGCGAGGAGATTTTCAGAGACTTCCCCAAAATCTGGACTGAGGCTCGCACCTCGCGGCTCGCCATCGGGTTCCCCGAGCTCTCGCGAGAGGCCATGGCGTTGTGCCCCGAAGACCGCGAAGCCGCTTTTGAGCGCCTGTGGGAAGCCGGAAGTGGGCTGCAGTTCCTGTTTGGTGGGTTCACGGATTTGCTCACGGACCCCGTTGCCAACGAGGAGGCTTGCAAGTTCATCCGGAGGAAGATCGAGGCGATCGTGAAGGATCCACAAAAGCGGAAGGTGCTTACGCCGGACGAGCCGTATGCCCGTCGCCCGCTGTGTGCGAACGGTTTTTATGAGCAGTTCAACCGAGAGAACGTCTTTGCGGTGGATATCCGGACCCATCCCATTGTAAAGATTGAAGCAGAGGGGATCCGCACGGCGGATGGCAGATTGCATGAATTAGACGTCATCATTTTCGCAACTGGCTACGACGCAATGGATGGAGCGTATGTTCGGTTGGACATTCAAGGCCAAAAATCAGGCGGGAACCTTCGGGATCGTTGGAAGGCAGAAGGCCCAGCGAGTTATCTGGGAATTTCCGTGCCAGGTTTCCCTAATCTCTTGATGATCAACGGGCCACAGACGCCATTTGCCAATATCCCTCCCATATCAGAGGAGAATGTGAACTTCACAGTGGATCTAATAAAGCGGGCTCAGGAGGTCAGTCAGCAGGAGAATCGCCCCTGTTTGATTGAAGCAACTGAAGAGGCACAACGCAAATGGGGCGAGCACTGCGACGAGATCGCCAACAGCACCCTCTTGAAACAGGTACCTCAGTGGCTCTTCGGCAATAATGTTCCCGGCAAGGTAGTCTCCACGTTGTTCTATTTTGGTGGAGTCGGACGGTTCAGAGCGTTAATTGCGGACATCAAGGCCAAGGGCTTTACAGGATTTAAGGAGCCTCTGAGTAGGAAGTCTGAGCCGCGGGCACATCTATGAGGCGTGCTGCATATTCCATTGCGTCTATACTTCGTTGATAGTGTCTCTATATCCGTCGTCAAGGACTATTCTGGTCTCCAAACACTGATGGCCATCTTCGGCTCACTTTCGCCAGCACAGATCGAAGATCGCGAGTTTCAGCTCGTGTCGATTTAGTCGTCTCTTCCTGCCATTTGAGCTCAAAATCAAGCAACTGCGCCTCTATTTTAGTTGCATTATACTTGCTTGCCTGGGTGTTTTCCAAGTAATGCAGGAACTTCTGCCAGCGAGGAATGTAGTACGACGAGACCAACCCGCCCCATTGCTTCGAGGCATAGTCGTTGATCTCACCCTTGGGGCCCCAGAGGGTGATCTGGTCTCTGGCATTGTACTCGTAGAAGTCAGCCTCTGCATCGTTTCTCGCCCATGACCGCGCTGACTGGATCCAAGTTGACAGGCGGAAATTGTCATTGGTGGAAAGCACAGAGTCCAGATCGTACAGCAGCTGAATGAGATTGCTTCCATCCTTGGAAACGGAGGCCCCAGCTTGATATGTAGACACAATATTGATGTACATAGGGATAAATGCGTTCGCCATTACTTGACGGGTAATGTCGACCATGTCATAGAGAAAAGCGGGCTGAGACCATAAAGAACGGTCCTTCGATGCAGCAGAGTCCATCAGTTGCCATGCCTGGACAAGCGCGGCCGGATCGTAGTTGATCGTTGTAGGATGATGGCTGGTACGGTTAACCAATCCTGAGATGCTTGGTTGCAGCTCAAAGATGGATTTAGACACCGCCGTTGATGTCAGGTTGGTGTTGTTGTAGGCTGTTGTTCTCAGAATATCCCATGCTTGATACAATTCTTCGGGTACCGCTGAACCTCTCGCTGCAGAAGAATATCGAGTCTTGACCCAGTTATGGAAGTAACGGTCCGTATCAATCGGCTGCCGAGACCAGGCTTGATCCAAAAGCAAGTCGTACATGATCTCGTTGCCCTCTTGACCTTCCATGGTTAGACCAAATCCGACAAGCGAATCCGAAGCAGCAAGAGCTTGTGTTGCATTTACTGTGACGTTCATCACCTGTCCATACAAGCCCATGTTGCCGCCATAGTCATGCAACTGGCACCAAATCCACGGCTTGCCATAGTACGACTGCGTACGCTGCCACTGGGGCTGTGACTCAGAAAATAGGTCCAGCACCAGCATGTCTTGGTCCACTTCAACACCGGACAAGTACGCCTTCACACGCTCGTCGGTCCAGAAATCCCAGTTGGAGTAAAACAACCAACCCTGCATCAGCCAAACAGCATTCGGATCGGCGCTCTTGAGGCTCAACCACGTGTTGTGGGTGACGTTACGCAAGTAGGCAAGATCCCCCGAGTAGGGATCGTTCTCGTTGTACTGGTCCAGTGTATAAATGTGCGTGATGTTCCCATACGCTTGCTGCTGTTTCTTGATAAAGCTGCGCAGCAGGCGGGAGAAGCTGGGGTCGAACGGTTCCAGGAAGGTGTCGTTGGTATATCGCTCATCAAACCCTCCCCATCGTGAACCATTCACCACTGTTGCGTTTGGAAGGACACGGCTGATCGCTCGAGGCACAAACCCTGTAAATGCAGGAAGAACCGGGGTCATACCAAGTTCGACCATACGGCGGACAATCTTCTTCTGTAGCTCGAATTGAGAGTCAATCCAGGAATAGGGCAGATCACCGCCCCAAGAACCTTGGATATTACCGAAGCGGTTCCAGGCTTGGAATGCTGGCCCGCTGAGAAAAGACGAGGTCTCAGCATCCGTCAGGCCGATCTCACGGAAGACCTCAACCAAGATCTTTTCCTGGCCGACCCAGGCAAGGGGCAAGTTAATGCCTCGCAGAGCCATCCAATCCAGCTGAAGCTCCCAGTCTTCCCATGACCAGAATGCCGTCGTGTAAGAGAAGGTCACTAGGAAGTCAGCCATACTGTGGCAGTTTCATAAGGCCTCGACATACCAGTATTAAAATGATAGCGTCTTTCGACGGTGCTGGAGCCAGTCAATGGTTTAGATAGACGAGGAAGTGGTATCGGTGCTAGATGTAGCTGACTGCCGACAAACCAGTAGATGTCTACAAGCGCGACATCGGCCAGATAGCGGTGCAGACTGTCCTTGTTATCAATTGCGTTGCTAAGTAGTAAATAATTGTAGAACGTCGTACCCGTATGACAGTGCGCTTAACGAATTACCCTGCACCAAAATAGTGCCGTTGGCAGCCGTTGACACAACGAACTGATCGTTATTGGTCGAGTTGAAGTCCATCAGAGAGAACCGAAAACTGTCGACATGCTTCGGCATTCGACGACGAACAAGATCGTAGATTCCATCAAGCGACTGCGCAAAAGTGGTGGAGGCGCATAGCCCCAAAAGCAGTGCTTTGACCCAGACCATCGCGGTGTTCGTATCGATCCCTTCTGCGAAACCAAGGGGATGATGATCGACAAGCTGAGTTCGAGTAATATGAATTCAGCTGAAGTCCACTACAACCCGGGACCTCTGTGGTCTTATAACAGTAGCCTCGCAAGTAAATTGATCGAATATTTTTAGTTGAGTTTGTTGGAGCCGTAAGCTTCCATATTGAAGTATCCCCTGAGACTGAGACCTCACTGGTCTGCACAGTTCCGTCTCCCCACATAAGTGCCAATCTTATCAAAGCTGGCTGGTTAATAGCCAATCTACCCCTCACGTGTGTTAGTGAACGTAGATTATAGTCACATCGGGGTTTTTGAATTGGACCTGTGGCCGAAGCCGCTGAAAGTCACAAGGACTTAGCTGTGTGGTCTCACAACCACCTTCTTCAACGTACTGGTCTTCCGCCTCTGCAAACCGGCCAATTTCGCCCCTTCATCTTCGTCCTTGACATGGTTAAAACAAATCATCGAGCCGGCGGGTGTGCGGAAAATTTGACTCTGCATTGTGATCCGAGTGGTGGCTCTCAAGAATGCTCGTCAATCTGTGAGCAGGGAATGGTTAGCCTTGGGATATTAGACTTTATTAGACGGCGGTAAGACGAATCTTGGCTTCACATGTAGCGTTCCAGAAAAGCTTAATCTAGTGGTTATACCTTAAAACCTGGGAAGCCTAGTCCTCTTTGCGAGTGGTCCAAGGCACCAAGAGCAGCAAGCAGGAATATCAACTGTCGGCGGATGTAAGCAGAGATATCTCTTCGCAGGTGCTTGCTAGAAGATATTACACGGGAGGGAAGCAACCAATCCGTAGGACTCAAAGTCCTCACTCTTGTTCAATCAAGCATGCCAGAATCGTTTCTCATACGGAACGAGATGGCGACACACAGGCGTGAGAATAGACCAAGAACGTTTCCGGTCCGGATATCGATAGGGTAAGAGGTTGAAGCGAGATGGCTGATCCTCCATCCTTTGGTTGTGAAACAGTCAGCTCCGGCTGAGGAGGCATAGGCGACTCTGCGAGTGGACGTTTACCAAACCCGTGACAAGAACCCAGAATAGCAGGAGAAGATACATCGTCCTGGACCACCACACTCAACGCAGGGACGGACATACGCTGCGGAGATCATTTTCGCGATCGGAAGAGTCGATAACAGTTCGTGAAGGTAGACCTAGCACCTACTCTATCTTCTGTCATGTACAGGTGGAAAGTATTATCGGGAAGATCATATCGAACTAGGTCTGTCGCGACTGGCAAGTGAATGATCTCCCCGTCTGCAAAACAACGCATATAAGTCCCCAACTTACAACTCAGACTTGGAGTTATTTCCGACTGTACAGTTGACTGATCTACAGGATATCATTTGGATGTCCTGCATCAACATCTCAAATGAGCACCTCGAGTCTACCACCTATCAGCTCTTTGAAGCCTCTAGGGGCTCATGTGAGTAAATTACATTGACGTCAAACGCCAGGACAATATTGACAGGCGGATAACCAGTTCTTTCGAAGCAAGAAACAACAGTCCTCGCCCCTCGTCAACCTGCCTACTGAAATCCTAGTTCAGATCTTCTCCTACACAAATCTACACGACACGATGGCCCTTTCAACAAGCTGCAAATACCTGCTCAGCATTCTCTCTTTCACAGCTTTTCCCGGAGACTTTCTGTTCAAAAAGCTCCCAGACCTGGCACCCATAAAGCTAATTCTGTTCCTCCTGCGACTCGCGTGGCCAAGGGAGATGGATGGACGTGCGAAGAAAGGTCTGCGGTACTGCAATGCCTGTCTCCGCATCTATCCAGAGAAGAGACAGTACTGGGAGGAGAAGTTGTCGATGAAGATCAGCAGGGATTTCTGGAATAGCTTGAAGTCCGAGTGGGAAATGAACCTTGACTGCCCTAAATGCTATCTCGGTCACAAACGCACCTATATGTGTCTTTGTCATGCAGCATTCATTAAGCGTTGGGAGCAGATTTGTGCTGAGCACATCGGCTGGTTCGGCAACTAGGCATAGGGACATCTCAAATGCACTATGCTCTGTGACAGCTAGGATGCCATGCTCTCTCTAGGGTTCAGTTATTGAACTGCAACTTTCGGTTTTTGTCATATACCTGCGAGCGTTATTCATGGCTCGTCTTAGACCCAACCGCTACTAATGAGCAGAATGTGACTGACGGATCTTAACCTCCATTTTTTCAAGTATCTGGGCCGTAATTTACTTATTGTCAAGTCTACCCAGTCTTTCTGCAATACAAGTACTTCAACGTTGAGGTTAAGCACCATGTCTCAAGTCTATTGTTAATGTATTTCCCCTCCGGCTGTGTATTCTTCGGCGTTGACTACAATCACCACAGCCATGGTCACAGCGATTAAGGTAAGACCTAGAAGATCCCTCGAAACATGGCATGCTCTGCAGGTGTCAGCATGCCATGTTTAGAGCAAGGACTCTGATAAGAAGTGGTGCTAGTTTCTCTTTCATGGCTGTCTACTGGCTTCCATGAGATATTATTCCTTGTAGACACTGCTCTTAGACTTCCAAATCTTATAGCAATAAGTTCAAGCTTTATTTTCTCGATAGGCTAAAAGCACAGCGTTCCTTTCAATAGCTATATGAGTCTCTTGTGCCGCAAGTGATTCTCTGACCCGCGGAAAGACATCCTGTTTAACGCACCGATGATTTATAAATTAGGCCTTTTATTCCCTCATATAACTTTCAAACGTCACTCACTCACCTAGTACAAATCACAATCCTCCTCAAGCTTGACTCCTCGAATCAAGCTGACTTTGATACTGAACCGGATATGCAACCGGTACTGGTACCGATTTCTCCATCTGCGCCGTAGCCATCGGGTATTGGTTCACTGGCCATTGATTGTGAGAGTGCTGGGCAGCCTGCCATTGTTGGTTGTGAGGCTGGGGAGGAGTCTGCCATTGCTCATAAGGCGCAAACGAGTAGTTAAGATTCTCCTGTTCATCTTTCTTGCGGTCCCTCCGACATTTGAGGACGAAAAGTGCGACTATAGTGAGGATGAGGATGAGGAATGCGAGGGGGATAACGACTGCCTTGATGATGATTTTTGTCTTTGCGTCCATGTTGGGGTGTTAGTTTGGGAACAATCGTTAAGTTTTGACAGGAACCGCAGAGGTGAGATCACCTCACTTATCTTGATTCAGTCATGAGTAAAATAGAGGTGCCTAGCTGAGCAACATATTGATGCCCCTGTCCTCGGCGCTTAAACCCGTCGGCGGATTTGTTGATTCACATGGACATAGGAGGGTGGAGGATATATGCAAGCCATTTCACGCAGACTCGGGCACTATCGACGAATTCTGATCAATCGTCTGCTGTTGATGGAGGTGAAAATAGATTTTGGCTCTCTTGGCGAATGCTTGAAGGCTTCTGCAGGTGGTCGAGAGTGAACTAGCAGTGTGTGGCCAACGGAAGACGCGAACTTGGCGCTGTGCATGTTAGGCCCAAATCAAGAGGCGTTGATGCCTGCAAGTCAGATTGTCAAGCTGTCATCTCGACCAGTTGGGCTTTTTATTTTGAATAGATTGCTTCGACAAGTCCTGACTGCATCCCGGCTATGGCTTGTGGTCGTCGATGCGACTACAATATTTCGAGAACAGAATCAATGGAGCCAGTCCAGATATCACTCAGCTGGTTCCTCGACTGGCGAAAGATCATTTGATTTACGGATTCCCGTTTAGGGACATTTACAACTTTCTCATCTATCCTTCATCACGTAAGAAAGCTAACCCAGACAGTCAGCTCTCAGTTCCCATTGAAGGTCAATAGTATCTAGATAGATAGATCCTGGGCCTTGTAAGTCAGTCCGGACTGCGTACGGAGTACCCCTCCGATAATCCCGCACCTGTACAGGAAAAGCCCCGCCTTAATGTAGCTGTACCAAGACTCCAAGACTACCAGACTTCTTCCACCAATTCGTAACAATTCATCGAGCCACAGGCCAAGAGTTTGTACCTGGTACACAGCCAAGATTGTCTTGGCTGCTCCCCGGGTAGTTTCACTTTAAGCATCCTCATGGGCAATGGCTTCTGTCCTTCATTTCCCCGTATACATGGCGAGCTTCTTGTGCCTGGATAGGTAGTGCCGGATTCGCATGCCAATTTACTGCGAAAAAAGACAATATTTCCACGAGTCGGGCTATCTGTCAGGAGATATGATAGTCTTAAACAGTGGGTCAATTGCTTTCTAAGTCATGCATCCGCTGAAAGTCCTCACACCGAAGGATCACCGATCGTCACTCCCCAAAGGATTTGAATCCTCTGTGGGCCCTGTTTCATCTCCAGTTTCAGTACAGGGGGCAAACGTCCTGATTGATACTCCTGGACAATGGTGAAGGATCTATGAAATGGAATCTCTCAGGTGTCTTCGGGCCGTCATTCGGGCTTTTAATACAGGCAAATTAGTCCGACCCTTCGAGCTGATACACCTAAGCATGGTGAGTCTAGGCGCCTAGCAGACAGACCATGAGGAATATAAGGCGTCCATGACCCCCTGTTTCCCAGGTCTCCCACAAGCCAACAGAGTCTTCTGAGCGACGAACACATAGTCCAAAATGGCGCGTTTCTCCTTCCTCAACGTTCTTCTATATGCACTTACGGCCAGTGCCGCGGCCGTAGGAGCCACCCTTCCCAAAGCAGGGTCTCTTGAGCACGTCCCCGATTTTGGCCCCAATCCCACCAATGTCTCCATGTACATTTATGTTCCCAATAAATTGGCAGCGGAGCCGGGCATTGTCGTTGCCATTCACTATTGTGAGATCCGCAGGCAACACTAAATGACCTAGAACTAACAGTGGGATACAGGCACAGGAACAGCGGAGGCATACTACACCGGCTCCCCTTATGCCAAACTGGCAGAACAATACGGCTTCATAGTCATCTATCCCGAGAGTCCCTACGAAGGCAAATGCTGGGACGTGAGCTCGAAAGCGACTCTGACTCACAATGGTGGGGGAAACAGCAACTCCATCGCCAACATGGTCGCCTGGACTAAGAAGCAGTACCAGGTCGACCGCAGCAAGGTGTTTGTGACCGGTAGCAGCTCAGGCGCGATGATGACTGTGCGTTCACCCACAGCCTAAGGACAGATCGATTATGAGACTAACAACAGACAGAATGTCATGGCAGCCACATATCCAGAGCTTTTCTCCGCAGGTATCGCCTACTCTGGTGTAGCCGCCGGCTGCTTCATGTCCGCCACCGACCAGGTCCAAGCATGGAACAGCACCTGCTCGCAGGGCAAGTCCGTCGCCACGCCTGAGGTCTGGGCCGGTGTCGCAAAGGCCATGTACCCGGGATATAACGGCCCACGGCCTAAGATGCAAATCTATCACGGTAGTGCCGATACGGCTCTACTGCCGCCCAACTACAACGAGACCTGCAAGCAGTGGGCCGGCGTCTTTGGGTATAAGTACGATGCTCCAAAGAGTGTCGTAGAGAACACACCCGAGGCCATGTATGAGACCACCACTTGGGGTGACAAGTTGCAGGGTATCTATGCCACTGGCGTCGGCCACACGGTGCCCATTCACGGGAAGCGGGATATGATCTGGTTTGGTTTTGCCCATTAACGGCAATCCTAAGTTTCATCAGGCGGTTATGCGGGACGAAGGGGGTGATAGAATTATGTCAGTAATAGAAGAGAAATAGAGCGGATCAAGCATACTAAATAAAAAGTGTTGTAAAATCCAAAAAGACGGAGAAAAAAAGCAAAAGAGAAATGACAAGAGTGGGATTCGAACCCACGCCATCATACGATGATGAGGAAACTCGT